TTGTGGCCAAACCACATCCAGTTGACAAGCACACCAACCAGGAATCATTCTGGGTTTTTATTTCTAATGAAAAATGTGTCCTGTACTTTGTCACACATTCTTACTCAGCAGAATAATTCAAAACAGTAAAGATGATAGGCAAAGTGCAAACTTTTTGTTTTGTTTTATTTTGCTTTGCTTTGCTTTTCAAGGCAGGGTTTCTCTGTGTAGCTCTGGCTGTCCTGGAACTCAATTTGTAGAACCAGGCTGACCTCAAACTCACAGAAATGCTCCTGCCTCTGCCTTCTGAGTGCTGGGATTAAAGGTGTGCATTAATACCACCAGGCTTTTAAGAGCAAGGCACAACCCAGAGCAGCACTTCATCTGATCCCACAAGTAGATATCACCTTGGAGATATCTGCATTACTGCCAAGTGACTCTCTACAAGTTTTAAGAATTAAGTTTAAACTTTTTAAACCCTTATTTTAACTCTCTCTGTGTGTGTGTGTGTGATGATTTGAATGAGAATGGCTCTCATAGGCTTATATATTTGAACACTTGGTTCTCAGGTGGTGGAACTATTTGGGAAGGGTTAGGAGGTGTGGCCTTGTTGGAGGCTGTGTCACTGGGAGAGGGCTCTGAGGTTTCAGAAGACTTGAATGATTTCCAGTTCCCCTTCCCTCCCTCTCTGCCTCATGGCTGCAGACCAAGATGTGAGCTCTCAGCTGTTCCTTCACCATCATGGACTCTCACCCTCTGAAACTGGAGGCCAAGCTAAGCACGTCCTTTCGTTTGTGGTGTTTTGTCATAGCAACGAACAGTCACTAAGACAGCTGAGGATGTGCACGTGAGTACAGGTTCACACAGAAGCCAGGGGACAGTGCCATCCCTTGTAAGCCACCACGGGAGTGGCACATCATAGGCATTGCAATTGAACTTGGGTCCTGTGAAAGAGTGCTGCATGTTTTTAACCACTGAGCCACCTCTAGCACTCAAATGAATTGTCTTCTTTAACACTTTGAGGCAGCGCATTTCTTTTCCACGCCTCACTTCTGTGTGAAGACATCTCCCATCATTCTCACTCATTTAAGCCTCTATGATTTTAGATGCTTTTCTAAACCTGTGAAACACTCAGAGATTATCATTATGTCATGTGTATAATGAAACCCTTTTACAGAATGCAGGCAGCATAACAACATAGCAAGGTCTCCGCAGCACAGAAAGACACCATATCAGTTTTCCAGTCAACAGAGCAATGTTAGACACAGTGCTGCGGATATGGAAACCACTTTATCTAGGAATTTGCTGGGATTCTAGCAACAGATTCAAATTGCTGAGGAATCCAGTCTTGTGGACTGAACAACTCCGCTATTCTTGGCATGTCTAAGGAGATAGTCATTGTAGGACTAGCCAGACCATAGCCTGCAAGCCACTCTAATATATATTCTTTATATCAGTTCCGTTGCCTTAGAGAACCCTGACTAATACAAGGTAATACATGATAAAACAGATGATAGGGCCTATTTGAGTCACTCAGAAAGAAATGTGATAAAGTTTGTGTTTAACTAGATATTTTGGGGGAGAAAACAGAGTCAAATGCTATATTTGTGAGTCTTCAAAGATAGAAAAACTGGGTCTGGAAAGATGGCTCAGTGGTTAAGAGCACTGGCTGACCTTCCAAAGGTCCTGAGTTCAATTTTCAGCAACCGCTTGGTGGCTCACAACCATCTGTAAAGAAATCTGGTGCCCTCTTCTGGCCTGCAGGCACACATGCAGACAGAACATTATATACATAACAATAAATAAATAAACCTTTAAGAAAAAAGAAAAAGAAAAACTGACCAGCAGCTCACCAAATGAGTGACAGGGAGATTCAAATGATTCCCAGTGTACCCCCTGCTATAAAGAGAAGAGATGGTCTTGGGTAGGACCAAGCAAACTGCTCCTCTGACAGGAAGGTCAAGATAACCTGTGAGTTAGAGATATGTCCTGCAACCAGAACCCTCATGCCAAATAACAGGTCACTGTTATGCTATCTCTGTGCAAAATGCCTGGATTTGGTGAACACAGGAGCCAAGTGTACCTAAATACAGAGCAAACCCCAAAGCAAACAGGACAACCAACAGCGAACAGGTATGGAAATAAAACAGTACAGGTAAAAAAAAGACCAGCCTTATTTAAAAGTGGCCAACCACCCCACTTCTCTACGGCAAGAGAATATTCTTGGGGTAATTGTATTGCTGTGGCACATCTGACATGCCACTACTGGAGAGTTTAGCCTAAAGATACAGACTGTAAGGGTTCTCAGATGGAAACCTATAAGTCACCTACCGAGGGTAGGGTGGTTAATATAGAGTATAGACTGCCAGGGGTTATAACAGAACTACAGAAAGGAGTCAGAAAAGGTATTTTTCCCAGATAAATATATTTTCAAAAGCCCAGTATGGACTGAAAAGAAGTCATATAACTCCTGAAGAATTGTCATAATTATAGAGATCTAGATAAAGTTAGGATTAGGAGTCTACTGTTTAGGTTAGGGTTGGATGCATTTTAGGTTTGTTTGGGGTTAGGAGTTAGAATTTGAAGTTGAAGGGTCATTGTGATTTAGGATCAGGGTTTGATTAGTGTTATAAATCTTAGGTAATCTTAGATTTAGAAATTTGATTTAGTATTAAAACGAGGGTAGTTAAAGGGTCAGAATTATTGTTACGGTTAAAGTACTTATTAGGGATTAGAATGAGTGTTAGACAGTGATTTGGGTAGAGTTACAAAAAAAAAAACTAAACCTAATTCCTAACCCATACATAACAATAAGCCGCTAACCCTAATCCAAAATCTATTCCTTAACTCTAACTTTATCCCTAATACTTCGTCTAATCCTAAACCTAACCCTAACCCCAAACTCAACCCTAAACACTATAATTAACCCTAACACTAACTTCAGCCAAACAATAAACCTAACCTCAACCCTAACCCCAACTCAGCCCTAACCCTAACCTAAACAATCATCCTAATCTGACTCTGATCCTTTAACTATACCACTAAACCTAGTTCCGGATTACATAAACCTAGTCCTGACCATCAAGCCTAACTCTACATTTAACTCTAAGTCTTACCCTAATCCCAAATCTTTTTTTTTCTTTTTTTTCTTTTTTTGTTGTTTATTAATTTAGGATTTTTTTTAATCTCAAATTTTCCAGAGAGTCCAATCCTGAATTCACTGAAGTTAAATTTAATCCAGAGTCTGCTAACCATAACACTGTAATCCTAACCCTAACGCTGTAACCCTAGCCCTAGCCTTGCAAGCCTAACCCTGTAACCTTAACCTTGTAAGGCCAACCCTAACCCCTAACCATAAACCTAATCCTAACTCTAACCACAATCACCTGACCCTCTGACCCTACCCCTACCACTGCAGGACTCTGGAGCAAGGTGCTAAGTCCTCGTGCATGTATATGAGATTCAAGTGGCAGCAGTTGGGTGGCTCCAGTTACACCCGGGGCATGTGGTAATTGGCCACATGCGTGCAGCTAGAAGTGCACCCACTGCTTACCAATAATTCCAGCCATGGTGGCCCCACTAAGCCAGTCCTGTCAGGGTTTTAGAATATAGGGCAGCACATTTTCATCTGGTTTTACTTCACTCACATGTCTTTATGGGATCTTTGCAAAGCACTCACCTTATCGTTTTACCAGCTTGGAAAACTAGGTTTGCTTGTTTACGCTTAGTTCATGAACTAACCATAAAATAAAAACAGTAGATGGTTTACCTTTGACATGTAAAGTATAAACAAACACAAACTATTGGCTTTCAGGGTGAATAAGTTACTCCTAAAAAAATTTACTGTGGTATATGGCCCTTTGCAAACAAAGGTTTATCAACCCAGTGACTCTTGTTCCCTAGGCTACTTCCTATGCTCTGGCCTCCTAAGCACTGCTAGATGGACCTTACTTTCACGATAGTTCAGTATCGGTAGCTAACCCTTAAGTAATGTGGGCAATGAACCAATCACTGACCTAAAAAGACATTATAATTTATGGGACTAACCTTGGCCCTGTGCATGTGTGTGACAGTTGTATACTGTGGCCTGTTCGTAAGGCTCCTAGCAGTGAAATCAGGACCTGTCCCTGGCACTTAGCTGACTTTCTGGAACCTGTTCCCCATACTGGATTACCTTGCCCAGCCTTTATGCAGGGGGAGGAGGCTGGTCCTACCTCAGCATGATGGGCCATGCTTTGTTCAAGTCCATGGAAGGTCCACCCCTTTCTAAATGGAGATGGAAAAGAGTGGACAGGGAGAGGGGTAGATAGGACTCAGGGGGAGGAAATGGGAGAAAAGGAGGGAGGGGAGACTGAGGTCAGTATGAAAAAATAATGAAAAAATGTTAACTAAATAAAATAAAATTTAAAAGATAAATTATATAAATTTACATTTATAAAAAAAAGTCAAAACTTAAAAGAAAAAATATTGAGTCACATGCTTTTACACTCCAAATGTGGGGTCAGGAGATCTTGGAGTTCATCAATGACTGTGACTCCAGTGACTTTTACCACAGGGATAGAATTGTCCACCTTTATCCTGTTATTTGTCTTTTTTCTTTGTGCTTACCTCATCTCTAAATCAAAATGAAAGCTGCTAGCAGAGCCCCTAAGACTGACTGAGGTCTTTAAATCCAGCTATTGGATAAACAAGATGCCATTCACCATCCCTACCAGGGAGAGGTTAGCTAGCTCCCCCTACTGGCCTGCATTCAAAATGGCTGGGAAAGAAAGAAAAGGGTAAATTAGGAGCTGATCTTGAGATCACCTTCCATAAGATAATGACGTTGCATGGCTTATACAGACTTGTTGGTAGGCAAAAAGGGTCTCTGCGATACTGTTTCACAACAAAATCTCCTGGGAAAGATGAGTGGCTGTCTCTATAGTCACTGGTAAATGGGCAACACCCTTTAAAGACATTTGGGCAGCTGTTATCAGTTATAAACGAACCACACATTTTGGTTTCTCTTTAAGAAACCACCTTCTCCTTCTCCACTCTGCAACTTCAAAAAGGTGAACAGATGAACAGGGAGATCAAGAGCTAGAGAACTCTCTCCTCTCTCTCTGTTCCACCTCGGATACTATGCTCTTCCTCTACCTCCAATGGCTGGCCAGAAGCTTCCAGAATGCACGTCTAGGCAACTGACCAGCACCTTCTTGCTGGCTGATCATTTTTGCAGGCCACTGCTGGAGATGCACTGGGGTCCTAGTCCCTCTGCGTGAGATGAGAAGTGACTTTAGTTTACATCTCTCCAAACAACAACCTGGAATCACTATACTGCTTCCCAGGGGGAGTGCCACCTCTGGACTGAGGGCGCGTCTCACCTGGATCTCTCCATTCACAGGCAAGGCTGGAAGTTGCTATGCATCCTGGGATGGAGAAGTCAGAGGTATCGGAGGTAGAAAAGAAGCTGATGGGGGGCAGAAGGTGTGGGGAAGCAGAACCAGTTCCACACCGGGAAAGAACATGGGGGTGCACTGTTGGGTCATGCCAACATCCTCTTCACCGAGTAGACTCAAGACTAGATGGCCTCCATTGGTCTCCAGCCCTGGTGTCACTGAACAAGATGCTACCAAGATTCCTTAGGAGTCCCTACTGGCTTGCAGCTTACACCTCCAAAGGCTTAGTAGAAAATTTTTTTTTCTACACATGCAGAGCCTGAATAGCATTTGGGGGGTGGGGGTAATAAAAAATGGCCCCAGAGTTTTTTGCTGTTGCTGTTGTTGAGCAAGGTCTCTCTACATAGCCCTGGCTGTCCTGGAACGAGGTAGATTACACTGGCCTCAAACTCACTGAGATTCACCTACCTCTGCCTCTCAAGTGCCAGGGTTAAAGGTGTGAGCCACCATGCCCAACCCAGGGGAAAGTCTGAATTATACAATTCCTTCAAAAAGTTGCCTAAAATTCATGATGTCCAATTCTTCTTTTCCTGTAAGATCACCAAGAAGTCGCTTGAAAATACAGGATGGACTCAAAGACTCTGGACGTGCGTGCTCTGTACGTGCTCTGGCCCAGGAAGGAATGAAGTGCAAGAGGGAAAGAAACCAGCGGGGGGAGGGGAGGGATCTCCCGAGAATTCTTCCACTAACAAGTAAAAAGTCCCCAAAGGGCTATCCTGATCTCTGGAAGGCCCAAGGTCCCCAATGCCCTGCATATCTGTGCTGCCCCCTCCCACACACTGTTGCAAAAAACAAAACAAATAAAAAAACCTTTAAACCTTGTATCAAAAACTAGGGTGAGGTCAGCAAGACAGCTTAGCAGGTGAGGCATCTACCACCAGGCCTGATCTGTGGAGTTAGCTCCCCAGAACCCACAAGATGAAAGGAGATTACCAACCCACAAATTAACCTGTAAACTCCACACATGAACCGTATCACATGCACACACGCATGCATGAACAAACAAAACGCTTAGTGCAATTTTAAAAAATAAAATAGTAGAGGGCAATAGAGTGCAACATCCGGTATTGACCTCTGAATTCCACACGTGCAAGCATGCATGTGCACACATTTGTGTACACATACACACACAAATGCATGTGCACACACGCACACAGTTTACCATAATCTTTCCATTAGGAGTACTACTCTCCGGTGTGAATTCTGTTATGATGCCTAAGGATTGAACATCTGGAAAAGGCTTTGCCGCAGGCTTGGCATGTGTAGGGTTTCTCTCCGGTATGAATTCTCTGGTGTACAGTGAGGTGTGAGCAACGACTGAAGGCTTTGCTGCACTGTGCACATTTGTAGGGCTTCTCTCCAGTGTGAACTCTGTGATGCTCTCTAAGACTTGAGTTAGCAGTAAAGGCTTTGCCACACTCCTTGCATTGGTAGGGTTTCTCTCCACTATGAACTCTATGATGTCTTCTGAGATTCGAACTTTGGGTGAAAGTTTTGCCACACTCTTTACACTCGTAGGGCTTCTCTCCAGTATGAACTATACGATGTCGTTTCAGGCTTAAATCACTGGTAAAGGCTTTGCCACACTCTTTACACTTGTAGGGCTTGTCTCCAGTGTGAACGTTTTGGTGCTGAGTAAGATTTGAAATATGAACAAAGGTTTTGCCACACTCCTTACACTTGTAGGGCTTTGCTCCAGCATGAATGGCATGACGCTGTCTAAGAGGGGGACACTTGATAAAGGATTTGCCACATTCTCCAACATAAACTCTCTGGTGTTGAATAAGATGTGAGCGTTGATTAAAAGCTTGGCCACAATCTTGACATTTGTAAGGTTTCTCTCCAGTATGAATTCTCTGATGCTGTCTGAGGTTTGACCTTGTGTTAAAGGTTTTGCCACATTCTTTACATTCAAAGGGTTTCTCTCCAGTATGAATTCTCTGGTGTACACTAAGATATGAACAACTGCTAAAGGCCTTACCACATTCTTTACATTTGTAGGGTTTCTCTGTATTATGAATTTTCTGGTGTCCTGTAAGTTTTGAGTTTTGACTAGAAGTCAGGGCACATTTTTTGGATTTATGAGCCCCGTCTTGAAGATGGGAGCTCTGAAGATCCTCTGAGCCCTGATGAACAACTTTCCTGCATTTGTTACCTTTGTAAAGATTCTCTGGAAAAGGAATACATTTACTATGACTTGAACCATAATTAAAGTTTTTATGGGTTTCAACGCACTCATAAGTTTTCTCTCTGACAGAAAATACCTGGTAATTATCTGTGATGCGGCTCAGGATAACAGTCTGTGTGGTCTCATTAAACCTGCTCTCCATTTCCCAATCACTTCTGTCTATATTTTGATTTAACAATGATGGATAAGAAAAATCCTTCCCACATTCATTAAAATTATATATTTTGGCACAAGGAGTTGTTTGTTGAAAGCAAAGTAACGAATTTTTTGTAAAAGAACTCTCCAACTGGTCACATTCAGAAATATGTTCTACTCTATGTACAGAAATGCTTGAATGAAAGTGTAACCCAATGCTACACTGTAAACTAGTCCTGTGATGACCTAGGCCCCCCTTCAGATGCGCCCAGCTTCCTTTCAGAGGAAAGGTACATTTCGAGTGTTGCTGAGAATACTTGCTTATGGGAAGGTGGGGCTCTTGGTGAGTAACTGCCACGACCTGAGGTTTCTCCTGAGGTGTCTTCTGTTCTTGGTCATCACCAGCAGAGACGTTTGTACTACTGCTGGTGATCACACGCTGCCCACGGTCACACGCTTTCTCACCTTCATTCTCACACACACCTTCCCATTTTTCCCTTAAATGCAAACTGCCAGTGCTGCACTTCCCATGTCCTCTGCTTATTTCCTCTCGGACTGAACGCTTCGTGTTCTCCTTTGATGAAAAGTCCTGGGTATGATGAGAACAGACCGCTGAAAAAAATAAAAACAAATGACCCGACTCAGGAGAAAATACTTGGTACATACAAAATAGAAAATTGCAGCAAATAAGTGACAACAGCAAAGTAGCAGACAGCAAACCCGCGGTGCTCACTAGCCATAGCAAATCCGCGGTGTTCACTAACCACAGCATTCCGAGGTGCTCACTAACCACAGCATCCCGTGCTGCTCACTAGCCACAGCAAACCCGCGGTGCTCACTAGCCACTGCAAACCCGCGGTGCTCACTAGCCACAGCCTAACCAAACCCGCCGACAGCCTTCCAGAACACCCCCAATGAACACAGCACTTAGGGAGGCCATGCAGCCGTGATTGTGTACTTTGGTAACCACAGCGTTCCAATCCCCACACAACACTGGGAAGGTAGGGAAACAAATCTCCACCTCCCTTCCTCTTTCCTAAGGAGAGCACAGGGTAAAACACATGGACATGTGCAAAGTCCTGGTTTCCCTAGGGATTATCTGAAAACTGGTTTCTATCTACCATGATACAAGAGTCCTACCAATAGATTATATTTTATATGACCGTTTGTAACAGAGACCAAAGGTATAATGCCAAAGAAATGATAGCAGCACATACAGACAACAGGGGCAGAGCAAGAAATATGGGTCAACGTTTTCAAACAAAAAAATACAAACACATATACAGAGAAGAAGGAGTGAAAGTATATTTGAGAGGCTTCAACAATGTGGAGCAAAACTGACGGTCATATTACCTGGTAGAGTGTGCATTGCACACTGAGAATTAAGTTCTAGAAACATGGTCCGGCCCTGCCCCATTTCAGACCCAAGCATGCTGGTTGTCGCCAAGTGTCCTCCAAAGTCTGGGAATGGGCTGCACCATGCCAACTCTATCATAGGGAGGAGGAGCTGCAAAACAGCCCACAAGTAAAAACATTGGGCTTTTCTCCCCTTTTTAAGACAAAGTCTGTATATCACTGGTTGTCCTAGAAATCACTATATAGATAAGGCTGTGTGTGCATGTGCACATGTGTGTGTATGCACACACACATGCATGCACACGGGTATAAAAACATATACATACACAATATACATATATATGACTGTTGTTGCTCATTCTCCAGACCACATATAATACATGGATGGAGATAATGGATAAATTCAGACAGATGACAGCCTTTTTTAATTTCTTAAAATATACTATTTATTAGTTTAATTAACAGTTTAAAATCTATGTATTTATCACATACACTGTGATATTTTATCATAGATACACATGGTGAACCTAACACAAATTAATTCCCACCACTATCATTTTGTGATTAGAAAACTTTCTATCCATTCATATTAACAGTTATCAAGAAAACAAAATACCAAGTTGCACAGCACTCCTGACTGTCTGAAACCTATTACACCGTGTTCTGCAGCCTTTAACATAATCTAAACCTCCCAATGGGCAAAACGCTGAGGGGAACATACCCGGACTCCACGTGGGTAGATCAGGCAGGAGCTGATTCTCTCTCTGGTTTATTTCACTTAATGTAAACCCCACGTGTGACTGTGGTGCTTTAGATTTCTTTTCTACAGTACTCTGACATGTCTTTCTTCGTTTGTCCACGGCAAGCCACTCAGACTGAGTATCTATGCTGCACGGAACACGTCCGTAAAGCGACCGATGATACATAACAATTCAGTGTCCCTTACCTAGTCACAGAATGGGTCATGGAGTCATCCTAGTTCTCTCTCTCTCTCTCTCTCTCTCTCTCTCTCTCTCTCGTAGCTTCTCTACTATTTTCTACAACATCTTCACTAATCTAGTACCCACTGGTTTAAAAATGGACAAATCTCAGTGAACATTAATGGCATACAAAGAGACAGGGAGATCTGGCTTAATTGAGTCAAATAAAATTCTAGAAATTGATCTTTAAAAAAATCTCAGATTTAGGAATTAGCTAAAGAAATAAACCATTTAAAAGACGTTAAATGACCTAAATAAGGACAAAGAAAACAACAAAAGAAGGGAAGTAAGAACGTGAACAAAGAAGAGCAATTGTAAACCGATGTAGAAATTATGTACCTAAAGAATAAAAAGTAATGGCTGAGCTGGGCGGTGGTGGCGCACGCCTTTAATAATCCCAGGCAGAAGCAGGCAGATCTCTGTGAGTTCAAGGCCAGCCTGATCTACAAGAGCTAGTTCCAGGACAGGCTCCAAAGCCAGAGAAACCTTGTCTCAGAAAAAAAAAAAAAAAAAAAAAAAGTAATGGCTGAACCAGTGAGATGATGGGTAGAGACACTTGCTGCTCTCCAAAGGAACCAATAGGTTCGAAGGAGAGAACCAGCTCCAAAGTTGTCCTCGGACCACATCCACGCAGTGGCACACACATAAGCACCTACACATACATATAGACATACATACATATTCACATACACAAACATACATTCATACACACACATCACCTAAGTGTCATAAAAAAATTTATAAATAATAATGGCTAAGAAATTCATAAGAAGTATGAGGAATAGAATTTCACCAAAATTCAAGAACCTCAATATCTCCAACTAGGATTAACAGGGAAAGATTCAATATAGTCAGTTTCAAAAGTCACAAAAAATCCTGAGAGCAGCATGGTAAGTGATAGGTCATTCACAAGGATGTTCTTGTATGACGCTCTGTGATCTTCCACCAGAAACTGTGATCAAGGAGAGCTGAGGATATAAGGGCTAAGAACAAAAACAACCACCCAAGAATACTATATCCAGCAAACTGCCCAACAAAGTGAAGGGAAAATGCCATAGACCTGCATGTTCAAGGGAGTCCTTCCTTACCACTGAAGAACAAAATAATGCTGGAAGGCTACACAAGTCACATGAGAACAAATACATATATATATATATATATATATATATATATATATATATATGTATAGAATCCTATAGTGCTGTCATGATGATACAAACATTTTTAATTCCTTTACAAATTCTGAAAGACAAATATATAATCATCATAAAACTAATAAGTGGCTATATAATATAAATTAGCTGTTATACTAGTAGCAAAAGATTTTATATAGGATTAAAGTCAATTTATTACAATTTAAAATTATTATACATTTAAAGTGTTTTTATATTCTCCATAATTATTGGAAAATACTTATATGATAAACGAAACAGGAAAGGCATCAAAATAAAAAAATTCAGTGACAAAAAATAAAATAAGGAAAGTAGTAGGGGGGAAATTATAAGAAATAAAAAGAAATAGTCATTTCTTTTTCAGTAAGTTTGTTAAATATAAATAATTTTATGTTTAATCCCCAACCAAAATACATAAATTCACTAAAAAGATTAAACCTTTAACAAAAAATCTAATCATGGAGCTGGAGAGATGGCACAGCAGTTAGGAGCACTGGTTGCTCTTCCAGAGGACCAGCATCCACATGGCAGGGGATCTCACAATCTCTGGACAGGGGACCTAAAGCCTTCTTTTGGCATCCATAGGCACCAAACACACAAGTGGCACACAGACATACATGCAGATAAAGCACCCATACACAGAGAATAAAGCAATGAGTCTAACCATACGCTGTCTACAGTAAACTCCTTTTAGACTAAGGACACAAGCAGGCTGAAGGCAAAGGGACAAAAAAGAAATTGCCTGTAAGTAATTGCAAGAAAGCAGATGTGGCTATAATTACACTGTACAAACTACATATTAAAATTCTTATATACTTCAAGACTAAAGCTCTACTGAAACAAGAGAAGCATCTTGTGTAAGGGAAAGGAAGCTGGGCACGGCAGCTCACTCCTACGATTCTGGCACTGGGGCATGGGAGGCAAAATGGTTGTCACAAGTTACAAGACAATCTAGGCTTCAGGAGATGCTATTTAAAGTAAAATTAAATTAAGCTACAATTAAAGTTAAAAAAATATCATATATGTATATCTGCAAATCATGTCATATACTCTAAAAATAGGCAGCAAACACTGAGCTGGAAAGAAAAGCAACACAATTATAACAGTTTCAGTTCCTCATGTGTACAGACAGCATGGAAGTCAGGAAACAAGGGGGCCTTCAAAAATGACAGCCAATCAAAGGTATCCCAGATACACCATCTGTTACTCACAAAATGGCCTTGATGGACAATAACATAATAATAAAGGAAAGAAACTGTTTTTTGATTCAAGCAACAGTATTTTACACCAGTGAGTTCCTGATCACTACCACAAATGAAGACTGACTATCACCTCAAGAAATGGAGCAGGCTACAAACATATCACGAAAATTTTCTTATCTATACCAACGAATACCTCACTTTTTTCCCCGAAAAGCAGGAATCTGGAATACACTCGAGGTGTAAAGGAAGGCAGGAGATACTCCCCAGAGAATGGAAATGGGTGTCGGCAGGACATTCCTGAGGGAAGCTGTCCTCACCTACAAACAGCAGGTTTCTGTAGTTCTCCACCATCACATCCCTGTATAAGGCCCGCTGTGTACGGTCCAGACATTCCCACTCCTCCGGAGAGAAATTAATGGCCACATCACCAAATGTCATCAGGTCCTAAAAGGAACAGAAAAAATATAAACTATTATTGACATTGACAGAGTTCCTAATTTGGCCAAAGATGAAAAGAATTAGAACCAACTCTGACAGTAGTCTTAATTATTCACTAAAATAATGTCTGATGCAATTACACTTGCTACTGTAAAAAGAGGATGATAAAATATCCACAAAACCAGTGCAGGTAACAGACTTATGAAATAACAAACATTTTTGGAGACAGGGTCTCACTGTAGAGCCCCAGCTTGCCTAGAACTCACTGCATGGACCAGGCTGGCTTAAAACTCAGAGATCCACTTGCTTCTGTCTCCCAGGTGCTGGGATTAAAGGGTGCACTACAACATCTGGTGAAATAATGACATTCTAAAGACAGGCATCAAGAATGGAATATATTCTTAAATGCTATATTTACATTCTAAAAAATAAACTATATCTCTCAAATGAGAAATTCATAATGAGTTACAAGCGTACTTCCAAATTTTAATATACACAAGCATAAATTAGGATATTAAAGTGCAGATTCTGACTCGATAGTTTTAGGTTGAAGAGACCAAATGATAATGGTCTGACAGGTACTCCTCAACAACAGACACTGGGTAGGACATTAAGAATTGATTTGAGAATTTACACTGGAAAAGTTTCTTAAGGTATTCACATTTTATTAAAAACAGCAGCCGGGTGGTGGTGGTGGTACACGCCTTTAATCCCAGTACTTGGGAACTAGGGAGGCAGAGGCAGGTGGATCTCTGTGAGTTCAAGGCCAGTCTGGTCTACAAGAGCTAGTTCCAGGACAGGCTCCAAAGCTACAGAGAAACCCTGTGTGGAAAAACCAAAAAAGAAAGAAGGAAGGAAGGAAGGAAGGAAAGAAAGAAAGGACAAAAAAATTATATTAAGCAAAATAAGATTAATGAAATTTTTATTTATGGATCCAATCAGAAATAACTACACATACACTAGTCAGGCATGGTGGTGCGCATGCCTTTAATCTCAACACTTAGGAGGCAGAAGCAGGTGGATCTTTGTGAGTTCCAGGCTAGCCAAGACTACACCCTGAGATCCTTTCTGGGCACTGGGGGGTGGGGGTGGAGAAAGACTAGACATTTTCACTTTGATAAAAGTAAGAAACCAGCTGTCACTTTACTGATCTTGGGATTACGCTTTGCTTTCTTTTCAGACTCTTAAGATGCACACACTTAACCACAGAAAATAAGAGTGACATTTGAGTCTTTTTTGTTTTTGGTTTTTTTTTTTTTTTGGTTTTTCGACACAGGGTTTCCCTGTAGCTTTGAAGCCTCCCTGGAACTAGCTGGGAATTGAACCCAGGACCTTTGGAAAAGCAGTCAGTGCTCTTAACTTCTGAGCCATCTCTCCAGTCCCCTGACATTTGAGTCTTACAACTTCTTCAACTTTTTCCTATTCCTCATTTACTATTTGTTTTGCTCTATATTTTAGATTTTTAAAGCACTTGGAAATATACGATTTTTTTTCTCAAAATCCAAGGAAAAGAATGTATATCCATGACATGAAGATTACTACAATGAAAACCTGCAAGCTAAGATCTGCTTCAGGACCTCCATCAGTAAAGCCAGTACCTCTCGGTAAATGTGAGAGATTTCATTCCCCAAAGCAAACACACACAGAGAACTTTAGAAGTGTGTGTCAACTATGATGGCTTATGCAGGATATCTAAGAAATTCCCAAGCTAGAGAGAGATGGCTCAATGGTTTCGATCACTTGCTGCTCTTGCAGAGGACCATGCCAGGAGGCTCATAACTGGCTGTCACTCTTGTTCCAGGGGATCCATGCCCTCATCTGGGACTCCACGGACACTTCGCATGCACGTACATGTTTATACACACAAAAATAACAAGATAAAGAGAAAAGCAATTAACTTTATAATGGAATATCGCAGAGGCAGCTCATTAACCTGAAGAATGAAGCTTTAATGTATGTTCAGCTATGCAGAATAAAGTGGCAGGGAGCTGCGGCAACTCTGGCTCCAGAATCTGTCCTGCCGCACAACCGCTGACGGAATCCACGAAAGCCTATAGGGATCCGCTCCTGAGATCACGGTGATCAACTCGCTCAGCAGGACCTGAGATCACTACGCAGAGTGGACAACTAACAGCTTTGCCAGAGACCCCACTGTCAGTCCAGCACCACCCTGGAACGGGGCATGATGAGACTGTCTGCACAGCCCCAACCCGCAACCGAGGAGACCCGGATCAGCGAACTCCAGGGCGGACTTGCGGACCCGTGTCCTGTCAGGACGCCAGGCGGATACTCACCATCTTCTGACTTCCGAGGTATCCCGGACCCGCCATGCCTGCCTCTGGGAACAGGGAGAAAAAGGCATCCAAAACCTCAGTGTCTCTGCAACAGAGAACCAGAAGATCCCAGAGTCCAAGATGTCGGGTTCCAAAGAAAGCCCGCGAGATTTTTGAAAGCCTGCCCACCACTCTGACTCCGTTCCTGATTGGACGGTTGTCTAACAACACCTCTGATCCGATTCCTCTGGCTGTGGATGACAACAAGTAGCATGTGCCCGTGACTGAATGAGACCGGAATGGCAGTTTCTCAGTTGCAGCTGCTATGGTTTGGTTTGGGTTTGGGTTTGATTTTGATGGTTCTGTTCGGTTTTGGTGGACTGAACCCAGGACTTCTGGCAGCAGCTATGTTAAGGCAAAATTTGACCTAGCCCATCAAAAGACATTTTAATTTAACTTTACATAGTCATATCAATTTATTAATTATATATCTGTAAATATTCACACAAATATGATAGATTCAGAGATACAAGATTAAATTAAAGATATAAATCTTTAAATTTCAAGTAACTTATCCAGTACTAGAGTTTTGGCAAATCTCTAATCCAGCCCTAACAGTCTAGGTATGCTAGGCCACAGTCCCAGTAAACCCGTTAAAGAGATGACTCCCATGGTTAAGAGCAGTGACTCAGAGGACCTGAGATCCGTTCCTTGCACCCAGACAGCTTACAACTGCCTGTAACGCCAGCTCTCTGGCTTCCTCCAGCACTGCACTCAAGTGCACATAGTCCCTGTGCATACACATAAGTAAAAACAAAGGCTGGAGCCCTGGTTACTCTTCCAGAAGACAGGAGTTCAGTTCCCTGCATCCACGTAGCGGCATGAGGGCTCACAGACACTAATAACAGCATGCAATGGTATACAGACATGCATACAGGTAGAACACCCATACACATAAGATAGAATCTCAAAAAAAAATAAAGAAAAATAAGGAATTCAATCTATGTGTGCATGGAGAAAAGTAATAAATAAAGGGTTCCTGACCAAGTATGCTTGGGCTGATGGTCAGTTTGGGTTATGCAAAGTGATCTCAGAGAACCAATCTGGTTTCCGTAATGACCCTTGCTTCTCTGTGGAGCCTCAAGTGCCCTCATTTGGGGATGGTCCGTCCTAGACCCCCAATTTCTTAGAAGTATTTTTTATTCCTTGGAGGTGTTTATGAGTCCTGTAGTTTCTGGAGTTCAGAAAGAGGTGCCACTGGGGGATCGGGGCTGGAGATGTGTAAACTTCTTTACACATCTTCAGACACAAAATGAAAGCAGAGCAGCCAGGCTTTACGTCCTGATTTTATTTCATGTGGACCTAGTGAAACTTTAATAATGCTTTTGAGCAAAAGAAGTTTCTGAGTACATGTTTTGTTGGGGAGCAATTTAATCTTTGAAATGAGAAGCAATCCCTCAAGGCAACAATGTCCCAAATACATACAATGTGAGGCCCAAAAATAAATTTTGAATTTTCTACTATTCATGTGTTTAAAATTAAAAGAGACAGGCAAATTGCCAACAATCAACTTAAAAGATGCCCAAAATAAATAACCTTTATACAGAGTCAAGGTAAAACCACCATGACACATAACTTCATAGCTATTAAGTTAGCAACTATCTGAAAAATAAATAATAAATGATGTCACAAATATAGAGAAGATGGAACTCCAGGTTCTGTTTTGAAAATAATTAGTTCTGGGGGCTGGTGAGATGGCTCAGAGGTTAAGAGCATTGCCTGCTCTTCCAAAGGTCCCGAGTTCAATTCCCAGCAACCACATGGTGGCTCACAATCATCTGTAATAGGGTCTGGTGCCCTCTTCTGGCCTGCAGGCATACACACAGACAGAATATTGTACACATAATAAATAAATAAATATTTTTTTAAAAAAAAAGAAAATAATTAGTTCTAAAAAAATAGTTCTAACCCATTAATGCTTAGTTTAGATGGTGTCTTAGTTACTGTTTTATTCCCATGACAGAACTCCATGACCAAGGCAACTTATAAAATAAATCATTTCATTTTGAGTTCATGGTTCCAGAGGACTAGAGTCCATAACCATCATGGAGGCAAGCATGGCAGCATGCAAGTAGGCGTGTTGCTGCAGTACTGGCTGAGAGTCTACATCATGAGACACAACCATAAGGCTGAGAGGGCTAACCTTACATACAACTCCAACAAGGTCACACCTCCTAATCCTTTGCAAATAATGACACCACCTAGGGATCCAATTTGAAATATGCTTTTCAAATATATTTTTAACTGATACATGAAACATACATATTAATGATATAGCATGTAATGCTCGTTTGGGGATTTTGGTTTGGTTTGGTTTTTGGATTTCAAGACAGGGTTTCTCAGTGTGTAGCCCTGGCTGTCCTGAATCTCACTCTGTAGACCAGACTGGCCTCAAACTCTGAGATCCTCCTGCCTCTACCTCCAAAATGCTGGGATTAAACATGTGTACCACTATATGCAGACTTGAGAGAGAAAAGAAAAAGTCCTTTAAAAAATAAAGAGAGTAGTTGGGTGTGGTGATACAAGCCTTTAATCCCAGCACTGGGGAGAAAGAGGCAGGCAGACCTCTGTGAGTTCAAGGTGTGGTGGCACACGCCTTTAATCCCAGCACTTGGGAGACAGAGGCAGGCAGGTCTCTGTGAGTTCAAGGACAGCCTGGTCTACAGAGGAAGTTCCAGGACAGCCAAACATACACAGAGAAACCCTGTCTCAAAAAGTCAAAAATTAAAAATAAATAGAGGCTAAAATAAAGCCACGTAAAGATGAAACATACACAGAGAATCTTGATACTATATATTATTATACTCTCTTTTGTAAGACTTTAAGACAATTCTGAAGCCATTTCTGACAATTCCAAACCCTCTCAGTCTCTGTGCCTTAGTGCTTCCCCTCGTCCCCTGGGAACCAAGGACCTAACAGCTACACATGCGCGTACTTAGTTCCTGAACAATTACCCATACACGTATGTTTTGATTCAGTCCCTTGGGAAACGGGGTCAAAATGACCTCTTACCTCATCTGATCTGACAATAGCTCTCCAGCCAATTATTGGTATTAGCCCTTTACGAATAAGACAATCATAATTGTCAAGGAACAACCCCTCTTGTTTCTATGGGGTCTTCTCCTTTAAAAGTAGACTATACCAGCTCTTTGAGGTCTCTCGGCTTCCCGAATGCTGAGGGACCCTGTCATGACAGAATTAATAAAAATCCTCATGCTTTTGCATCGGCTATGGTATATGAGGTTGTCTCTGGGGGCAACTCCTTCTCAGTTTGGACACTAGAGTCCAACACTTTGAATTGTTTAAATGCTGAGGAAGGAGCAACAGCTGCTAAAAGATATTTATTTAAAAATGCTACTAAATCAATCCAAGATAGGTATTTTAAAAATATCTTGACTTCAAAATTGAAGTCAAAAGGTATATAATTTGGAGAAGAGGGTTTACTTTTATTTCCACAGGAAATGAGAGACTGTGGATCCATTCTGAGTTAAGAAAAATCAGGTTTGATCAAGGAAAACCACCTGGGAAATTTCTGGTAGGAACAGATGGCCCAAACGTCTGAGTTCTATATCCAGAACAGATCCAAGATGCTGCCTGATATGATCAAGCCTCACGGGATAGTACAGTCAGGACTTGATCAAATTTCTAAATTTTCTTTAGGTCCCCATAAGATTATCAGCACCCCCAACCAGCAGGAAGTAGCCTGGAAAACTACACCCACATTCCCCCCAAAAAATAGACTATGGATATTTTCCTTTGTTTAGGATGTTGGTTACAAGTTGTTATGGCTAATAGGAGAAAAGCTAAACGAAGAATATTAGATTCAGAGTTTTTGTTATTTAAAAAAAGGGGGGGGAGTGGTGTGGGACAATTTTATTCTGTCAATTATATTTTAAATAAATGCTTATTGGTCAGTAGCCAGGAAGGAAGTATAGGCAGGACAACCAGATAGGAAGTAGTGGTGGGTCAATGAGAACAGGACTATTCTGGGAAGAAGGAAGCTCTTTCTGCAGTTGTGAGCCCACCACAAAAGAAGCAAGATATGACTGCCTCGCTGAAAAAGGTACCGAGCCATGTGACTAACATAGACAAGAATAACGGGTTGATATAAGTTATAAGAGTTAATAAGAAGCCTAAGCTGATAGACCAATCAGTTTATAACTAATGTAGACCTCTGTGTGATTTCTTTGGGACTTAACAATTGTGGGAACCAGGCAGGACAAAAAACTCGGACAACATAACACCACCGCTGGACTAGCATGTAATGTTTTGAGATGTATCTACACTATGTAGTGTAAAATCATGTTGTGGTATTTTGAATCTATAGGCACCATAATCTTCTAGGGGGAGGCACTATTAGGAGGAATGGCTTTGTTGGAGTGGAAATGACCTTGGTGGAGGAAGTGTGTTACTGTAGGGGCAGGCTTTGAGGCTTCCTATGCTCGGGATACCAGCAAGTCTATCAGTTGACTTCCTGTTGCCTGCAAGGTGTAGCACTCTCAGCTCCAGCACCCCATTTGATGATAATGAACTGAACCTCTGAAACCGTAAGCCAGCCAAGGTAAATATTCTTATAAGAGCTACTGTACTCATGGTGTCTTCACAGCAACAAAACCCTAACTAAGATGCATGTTAATCACATCCCTTTAAATATTATATTTGCCGTGATAGCCTCCAAAGCTCTTCAAGCTTCCTGAAGTTCATACTACATGATGGTTACATGCAGTTACTTTAATGTGGAATAACACAGAATCTCTTGATCATCTATCAAAATAATCGGCATTTCCCTCCACCCTGCCAACTCTCTCTGAACTCCAAAAACTGTAGCAGGGAGTACAATACAGACAATTTTAGATTCCATCTATGAGACAGTGCAGTGAAAGTTCCTTCCCTGGTGAGAACCAACCATGTTTAACCCCCTCCTCATAAGGTTCTATCTGTTCACAATCCTCCAAACCTCTATGGTTAATTTTGGTCCTCTAGTGGCTAGCTCCACCATCTGACTCAAAGCAAGCTTTATTTTCAGAGTGAAATCAAAATATCACACAACAGGTACAGCACAGCTGCGGTTTCCTGACAACCCATCCACACCCCCATCCTACACCATCTGGCCCTCCCTCCAAGCCTACAGCATGGGGGGGGGGGCAGCACGCACATGGAAGTCAAAGGACAACTTTGTGGAGTCATTTCTCAACTTTCACCTTTACATGGCACCCAAGAATTGAACTAGCGTCCTCAATGCTTTAACCCCTAAGATATTTCGCCCGCCCTGCCCCAGCCACCTAACCAATTTCCCGCCAGTCTTAGTGTTAGGCTCCACCGGTCCCGCCTTCCCAGCAACCAGCAATCGTCCTTCCCCAAGCCACTGTCCCTCCCACCCCTCCCCAAGGGACGCTCTCCCCAGCTTCTACTCTTTTCCCTTAAGTCACCACCCAAAAGCCCAGATGCGTGGCCGCCAGCACTCATCAGGTGGGAGGTGGCTTCTCCAGAAGTGTTCAAATAGGTGACCCCAGGAGTTGGGGCGGGGCCTCAGATCGAACAGGTCTGGGCTGACCGGAGGAGCGCGTTGCGGCTGGCAGAGCGACTGCTGTGGGTGTTGCACAGACGGAGCTCCAGGGCAGGCCATGAGCTCCAGGACCGCCCCGCGGCTGATGACGCTCCAGAGGCACCTCGGCTGGCCACAGGTAAGGAGCTGGCCTGCACCCTCAGAATTCCTGTCTCATGTGTAAGGGACAGGGAGAGAGCCAAGTGTAGGAGGCTGGGGGTAAGGGGAAGCTCCTAGAAAACCTACTGAGCCAGAGGCGCAGATCTGAGTTCTGGGAAGCTAAGGCCACTGAGCAGCTGAAACTGAAGGGCTTCTACAGAGGAGAGAGGGTGGTACTCAGGTAGGGGCAATGGAGGGCTCAGGTCAGCTTTGTTTAGCGCTTGGCACCTCATCCTGCAACTCAGCAATTCTGCCTGCCTCTGGGCAGAAGGGCTGTTTGCTCGCCTCACAAGTGAATCGAAGACCCAGTTAGGCCTGTCCATACAGGCCCCACGGAGATCACGTGTACTCTCTCTACTCAGACTGGTGCCGTGGCTATGGAGAGCAGCCCACTGACCACTCACGTGCTAGACACTGCCTCAGGGCTCCCTGCCCAAGGCCTCTGCCTCCGGTTGTCTCGCCTGGAGGCCCCTGGCCAGCAGTGGATGGAGCTGAGGACGAGGTAGGAGGCCGTTTCTGGACTGGGATCCGTGAGTGCCTACTCCAGCAGCTGTGTCCTTCCTGGGTTCCACTTGGGGATGATCTTAGGCAGCGGAACTGAGGTGGCACAGTGCCTGGGGGCACACTGAATGGGACTGAGACTGGTGTGGGCACAGGGGGCTGGAAGGCAGAACTGACCGCTGCCCTATTGACAGACGAGGCCCAGGGGTCAATAAACAGGGATATAAGTGCAATAGCATTTCACCAGATATGACCTGGGACAATGCCGTGGAATTGTCTGAGACAGCTTTGTAGAGCCCTTGCCTGTCAGATTCAGCCCAATGGGCCTGCTAGGAGGGGAGCCAACTACAGAGGACTGGTAGAAAAGAAAGGCCTCCATCACCCTGTGCCGAGTGCTGCCCTTTTCTTTTCTAGTCTCAGTAGCTATGAACTAGTAGTGTGATTTACCTCTTTTACAGAAAGAGACTGAGATATAGGGTTGAGGAGGTAAAAACTAAGACTCCACTCTGGCCCTGTACTGGGCCTTCGACCTCAATGAGCCAGGCTCGAGCCCTGGCCTTGGTCATGCCCCTCGAACATGCTCTTCCCGGAGACTGGGATCTTCCTGTTTCAGTGTTAGCTAGCCAAGGCTGGCAGAGTTGTGGCTTTGAGAGCGGATTCTATTTAAGAGAGACAGGTTCACCCATCTCCTCCCTTCTGACCTGTGGGAACAAGGTGTGGTTCATCACCTCCTAATTCAGTCGTAAAAGCTGGAGAGGTTTATCTTTTGTTTCTCTGCTTTATGATTTCCTAAATAGGCAGTGTGGCCGTACCCTTAGAAATCGTGCCCCATCTGTGCTCCCTGCGTTCCACTGCGGGGATCATCTGAGGTCATCGGCTTGTGGAGCAGGAAAGCTAGGGGAGGGCGGCTTCTCAGCTCTTCTCTTTGTCTCTTCCCAGCTACACAAACCTGGATGGTCGCTGTCCTGGTCTCCTGACACCAGGCCAAATAAAACCAGGCACCTACAAGCTGTCCTTCGACACGGAGAGCTACTGGAAGGAGAGGGGTCAGGAGAGCTTTTACCCATATGTAGAGGTGAGGGCCATGGATGGGTGGAGCAGCTGGGCCCTGACTCACTTTGACCAAAACCTCCTCCAGGCCAGGAACAGACTGGCCCCACCTCTCCCAAGGTGGTAGCTAGTGAGTGAACACACCTTCCTCTGTGCTCTCAGAAGGTGTCCAGGGACCTGAGGCGCCATTATGCTTCATTGATGACACGGGAGAGGCCAGGCTGCAAGTGTCTCATCCTTCTTCGTAGCACTGGGTGTGTTACTTCTGCATCACTGACATAACTTAAGGGCTTGTTCTTTCAGCCCACAATTGCTCGGCTCCATGCGTTCACCGTTGTGGGGGTCGCCGTTCCACGCCACCCACCTCCCACAAGTTCCATATTGTCCTAGGGGTTAAAACACAGAATGCACACACACAGATACAGAGTTCCAGTCATCCTCAAGAAGAGAATGCCCAATTTATTCAACTAAATCCAGGGTTAAATACTTTTGGCCCCAGTAAAGAAAAACTCCTCCCACCCAGAGGGGGCTGGGGAAACTGGCATTTGTGGGAGTTTCTCCCCAGGCAGGTGGTCGAGGGTTCAAGGCAATGTCAGACAGGTTAGATGGGCCTTGGCGCCTTGAGCTTCTTTTAGGCAGGTTGAGAAATTACCATTTTAAAGTAAAATAGACCCCTCAGGCTAATGTACCAGGCTGTAGCAGAAGCAAGGACTGAACTTAGCAGGAAGCTTAGCTGGTAAGCTTAAACATTACTTGCATCCTGTGTTTTGGCCTCAAGGAACAGTGAGGACAGGGCCTCACACACCGTGGCATTGGGAGCAGATGGAAGAGGAAAGCTATCACTTCATGGTAGACAAGCAACAGAGAGGAACACAAGAAAAGACACAGATCCCTAGGACACTACCCAGAGCCCCTCCTCCAGCGGGGCCCACCTCTAGGTTCAGGACCTACTAATGAGGCCATCACATGATGAATCCAGTTAATCACAAGAGATTAACCAGTTGATTAGATCAGAGTCCTCGGGATCAATCACCTCCCCAAAGCCCACCAACCAGCAACCGAGACCGCACTATCTCCTCTTGGAAACACTTCAAACCATAACATCGGGCTTTTACCTAAGTGTCTCCGACTTGTAGGCAACCACCAAAGCCCCTCCTGCTCATCTGGAAGGCCCAGGAGTGGTTGCAGGAAGGACTCACCATCTTCCGTGAGTCTTCAAGTGCCTTCTTTGCTTCTCCTAGGTTGTTTTCACTATTGCAAAGGAGACCCAGAAGTTCCATGTACCTCTGCTGCTGAGCCCATGGTCCTACACCACCTACCGGGGGAGTTAGAGCGGCGCATTACCCGAGGAAAGCCATCTGTCTGCCTGGCCCTTCCCCTGACTTAGCCACGTATAGTCAACGGCATGGGCTTTGTCCCCATGAAGGGACATGAAGTTGCTGCTTGCTGAAGAGATCCTAGCTGCCCTGGAGTTTTCTAGTGGGCAGCTGTGACTTGGGTATCAATAAAGTGAGTTCCAACACCTGCAACGCTGAACCTATCATTGGGACAGGGACATTCAGCCAAGATCTGCTAGCACTGCCCCTGCTCCAGGTATCTTTGTTTCTCTTCCTGTGGCTGTGATAAAATACTTGGACTCAAGCGATTTGAGAAAGGGTTTTCTTCTGGCTCAGTTCAAGCTACAGTTCTCTGAGGCAGGGAAGCTACAGTGAAAGGAAGACTGAGTGACGGAGCTGGACACATTGTGGCTGCAGTCAAGAAGCAGAGAGCAGCATCAGGCAGTGGTGACAGACGCCTTTAATCCCAGTGCTTGGGAGGCAAAGGGAGGTATATCTCTGAGTTCAAGGTCAACCTGGTCTATGGGGAGCGAGTTTCAAGACAACCAGGGCTACACAGAGAAACTCTGTCTTGAGAAAACAAAGGAGGAGGAGAAAGAAGAAAGGAAGAGGAGGAGAGTGCACTGCTAATGCTCAGCTGCTTCCTCCACAGTTCAGGATCCCGTGCCCAGGGATGGTCCTTCCCATAATTAATGTGTCTTTCCATATCAGTTAGCACAAGCTAGCCCCCACAGGCATGCCCAGAGGCCTTTCTCTCAGGTCATTCTAATTTGGTCAAGTTGGCAACACCAGCCATCATACCAGGTGATCAAGGTGGCCTCTGAGAAGAGGCCACTGAGGTCACAGGCAGAATGTAGAGGTGGGCATGGTACGAATAGGGAAGCAGGCCAGCAGCGAGGCTCTGTGAAGAGCCCTGCAGGGAGTTCTCCACAGACAAGACAACAGAGAGGAAATGCGGGAAAATCTTTATTGCTAATGAAACCTAAAAAAAAAAAAAACCTTGCTCTTTTTGGTATAGGATTGTCATCTGGAGAGTGGAGCCGGGACTCACTGGAAAGAGGACAATGTATTCATGAGTCCTGCCAGATCATAGTCCAGCATCTTTCTGATCACAGCCATCCCCAGAGCTTGAATCCCACATCCTTCAGGATTAACAGCTTTACCTCATGTGTGCAGTATGAGTCCCTACTAAGGCCTGTGGGGGCAGGGCAGCGTCAGGGAGGGAAGGAGTCCATCTAGGTCTGGGCACTGTGTCAGACCTTGCTGGGACCCACAGAGATTCAGGTCCCACTCCTTGCAGGGGCGAGGAGAAAGCAAACCCAGCAGCATGGTGTAAAGGAAAAGTAAGCGTCCGAGAACAGTTTACCAGACAGTGCTAGCGCCTTTATAGATGCTCATGTAGCTCACAGAAGTGAAGAAAGCAGAGAGGATGAACTTAGGCAGAACTGAGGACTGCATGGCTCAGGAGTTCCTCACCAGACACGTCTCAGGGAGAATGACCAGGCTGCCCTCAAACTCCTAGAGACCCACCTGCTTCTGCCTCCCAAGTGCTGAGATCAAAGGTGTGCACCACCCCACCCCCGGCATCAAACCACACCTTACTCCTTTCCCCTAGTGGGCACAGCCTCTCTTGACTCCTCAGTGACTTTGTGCCTTCTCTAAGGCCTGCCTTGGGAAGGACCCGAGTCATCCTCATCCATCACAAGAGGCACGATCTGAGGTCACAGTGCTGGTGCTAACGTTCACATGCCTTCCTAGTTCCACACTAGGGTCCCTGATCGCCATTCTGGTAAAGGTACCCTGTCTGTTTGTTTGCTTACTTGCTTTTTGAGACAGAGTCTCACTGTGTAGCTCTGGCTGTCCTGGAGCTTGCTATGTAAACCAGGCTTGCCTTGAACTCCCAGAGAATTGCCTGCCTCTGCCTCCCAAATGCTGGGATTAAGTGTACCACCACACACAGCCCTATGCACCTTTTTAAAAGTGTTAATTCCAAGGGTAGGAAAAAGGTTTGATGAATTGATATGTGCGGAACACTTGGAACCCGGTCAGACTCTGAGGAAATGCTCAAAAGGCTCCTTTTTCCTAGTTGTGACTTGGAAGCCAACAGTTAAAGGGTATGTAAGGGTAGACTCTAAGTGAGAACTTGGAGGCTCAGCCTGGTTCTTACCCTTCCTATGCCCAGACTCCCAAGAATCAACGAAATAACATGGATATCCCTAAGAACCATATACCCAGCAGATGACCGTACTTTTTGTGGACAGGTACCAGCATCTGAAGAACAGGTACAATGAGAGAACCAGGGCCCAAACGGGTGTGTTGACAGCTGAGAGGCTGTTTGAGCAACATGGATTCTGGAAATCAGTGGAAGGCATCCAGAACTCTGAAAAATGGGGTGATAGAATGTCTAGACATGGCTCCAAATGTGGACTTCACCCCATAGAATTAAAGTTTGGTTTAAGCCACCCTTGTGAGGTTGCTGCTCTTGGTCAATCCTTTGGCAGACACTGGTAAAGCACAGACTGAGCGGCCACCTCAGGAACAAGCTGAGGATGGAGCCCAGTCTCTCTCTAGTGCACGGTATATATGTCCCAGGGTCCCAACTCGAACTAAAGCCCTCCAGCGAGGCAAAGCTTCATTTCTGATCAGAAGGCTGTGCCACTCGCGAAGCAGAAGAGCAAGCTCACCAAGCCAGAAATTTCTTAGGTGTTTTACTAATCAAGGATGGGTTTTTTTTTTTCCCCATTGGCTGGGTCCATCTTCACTGTCCTCACATTAGCTGATTTGGTTTTGTTGTTGTTGTTGTTGTTTGTGGTTGGGTTTTGTTTTTTGTTATATTTTTTTTAATCAGTACAAAGGAACTGAAAGAAAGTTCCTTCAAGTTACAGGACTGTAGCAAACGGGGCCTTTGTATCAACAAAAGGTTTACTAGGTTTGGGGATAAGGGATTAACCAGGTGGAAAAAAAATTTTTTTAATTTTTTTGTAAAAATCTTTTAAGGTAGAGATTTAAAATTTTGCATAAGTCTTACAAGCTGGGAGATATTAAAATATTGAAATTGCTTGTCATAAAGAGCTTTACAGTTTTTTATAATATTTAATGTTTCTTTCGGGGTGAGGGAAGGACACAGCAGGGAGCAGAACCATAGTGTACCACAATAGGCAAACCTATAAGCAGTGGCAGGAAAGAGGCCTGCATCAGGCACCAGCCCTCATGCTGGGCTGAGTGATTCCGGGCAGGTGCAGGCCAGATCCTCTGGGGTGCTCTGCTCCTTCGCTTCAGGCCTGCTATACCTGGCTCTTAATAGAGCGTGCAAGGAAAACAGGCAAGGCCCTCGGAAACCTCACATTTAGCATATCACAGGCTGGAGCCTGGTGGGAAGAAGTGGAACCCGGAGGGGAAGAAAAGGACCAAGTCCCAGGAAGAAGCAAGACCTGGGGAGAGAACTGGGCTGATAGCAGAAGGAGGGGACCCTAAGGGGGCCTAATGGGGCCTGCATGTGATCCCAGAGTTACCAGATTCTAGAGGCAAATTCCTTCACACAGGAGTTACTACTATCTTACATGCTGTGTGTGTGAGAAACTGACCTCTAACCTGCTTCTCAAAGTTACTCCTCATCTTAGGGACCTCCTTGGAGTGTTTCTGCTAGGTGAGATCACAGCATCTCTGACAGTTGGACAGAGAGGTCCACTCCCCTTAGGCTGCTGAACCTGTTCCTTTTCCCCTGGGAAAACTCAGTTCAGTAAACCCTGTCTTCTTTCTCCTCCTCCTCCTCCTCTTCCTCATCCTCCTCCTCCTTCACTGCTGTTGCTGCTACTGATAGTTCCTGGGTTCCCTTCACATCTTGTTCATGAAGCATGCAGGATAACATGGATTTGGGCAACCTCCACATTTCATAACTCACTTCTCTCAACAAGGTCACTTCGAAGTCTGAGAGATCAATAGACATGGATAATAGACATTAGCGTGGCTTAGTTTCCACATTCACATCCAGAAAGCAGTAGCCCTGTCTACATAGAACAGCTCAGGGAAACATTCAAATAGTATCTTTTTGCTTTGGTGTGTGTCGATGTGTGTACTTGCATGTGTGCAGGTGCACGTGCCTGAGCACACACGTGTCAATGTGTGTACTTGTATGCGTGCAGGTGCACTTGCCTGAGCATACATGTGTCAATGTGTGAACTTGCCTGTGTGCGGGTACAGTTCCTGAGCACACACGTGTGTGGTGTATACTTGCATGTGTGTGGGTGTACTTGAGCATACACATGGAGGCTAGATTTTGACTTCTGTTATCTCCTCACTGTTCTGCATCTATTTTTGGTGACAAGTCTCTCTCAGCGAACCTGGGACTTGCCATTTCAGTTAGGCTGGCTGGCAAGAGAGCCCCAGGATCTGCCTGCCTCTATCACCCCACACTGTCACAGACATGGGGCCTTGTCCAGCTTCTGTATGAGTATAGGAAAACAGTTCAGGTCCTCATGTTTGCAAAGCAAGCATCTTACCCACTGACCCAACTCTCAAGTCCTCAAAGATTTTCTTCCAAAGATGTAAACCCTTAAGAACTTGCTTTCTTTTCTTTGTATAATTCTTTAAAAGATGTAATTTACTATGTGTGGGTGTTTTGTCATTATGTCTGTCTGTGCCACATGTATGCCTTGGACCCACAGAAGCCAGAAGAGGGCATTGCATCCCGTGGAATTTGAGTTGTGGATGGTTGTGAGTTGCCAGATAGGTCCTGGGAATCAAACCTTGGTCCTCTGTAGAAGCAACCCGTGGTCCTAACCACTGCACAATCTCTCCAGCCCTTTATATGTTATTCTAAAATGTATCTGTTACTGAATAAACTTAATTTCTATTTTTATTTTTTAGGTTTATTATTTTTGGATTTTTATTTTTGTTTAGGATGTATTCATCTTATCATGCTATATGTATCAGTGTCTTATCTGCGTGTATGTGTTGCACCACGTAGTGTGCCTGGTGCCTGAGGAGGTCAGAAAAGGGTGTCAGACGCCCTGGAACTGGAGTTATAGATGGTTACTGCCCTGTGGGCTCTGGGAACCAAACCCAGGTTATCCGCAAAGAGCAACAAGTGCTCTTAACTGTTGAATTAACTCTATAGCCCCTTTTTAAAAGAACTGGGGAAGTTTGTTTTTTGCTTTTGGTTTGGTTTTGGTCTTTCAAAACAGGGTTTCTCTGTGTAGCTATCTGTCTACCTACCTGGAACTCACTTTGTAGACCAGGCTGGCCTTGAACTCACAGAGATCTGCCTGCCTCTGCCTCCTGAATGCTGGGATTAAAGTTGTGATCCACCATGCCCCACTCTTTTATTTTTTTAATTTCAAAAAGTTTATTTTAATAAGCAACTATACATTTCAATTTGAAATAAATGTTTTGTTCATTTGTTAGGGTCCTCTGGTTGTGTTCCACCATATACAGGCCTCAGGTTAAATGGCATCTGTTTAATCACTGAGTTCATCTTAAAATAACCATTCTATCCTCCTCAGAAAAATGGCCCAAACCCTCACCACCCTCGCACTTCACTGCAGTCTTCCACGTCACCAAGCTTCATCCAGTCAGCTGAGGCTGGTGGCTCCCAAGCGGCACGCTTGGCTTCTGCTCACCGTGTTTTAGTACAGGGATAGAAAAGCTAACAGTTCCCGCTATGGAGGGACACTTGCACTCTAAAGTGGTGCACTGTCTCCAATGTGGCACCCGCTAGTCAGAACCGCGGGCCCATGAATGTACCACATCTGCGACTGCCACAGAAGGCAATGACTTGCGAATCGGAGATGAACCATTACGGTACTATGAGAGCTAGCAGCCAACAATGGCTACCACAGAAGGTCTGTTTACTTGTGACATGAACTCTTCCCACACCTACACACCCCAAGTGGGGTGCCAACAACAGACCAAAATACAACTCTACCCATGTTCAATTTGGCAAACCAGGGAGTTTACAGGGCCTGCATACAGAGCATGAACGAGGGGTTACTCACAGGAGTGTGGGTGACTCAGACAACTGTCTCACCAGTAAAGCACTGCCCAGCATGGATCCTGACTCCCCTACAGCTGACGAGACGGAGTTCCCCATTAAGTTAACCTTCCACTGTCTATAGACTCTAGCGCCACAAGGCCACATGTAATTAGGACAGAGTTGCATAAAGTTGGCAGGAAGAACAGCAAGGGTAGTTGAGCTCTCCTCACCCCTTCCTTCTAGGAGGGAACGCCAACAGAACCAACCTCCAGGATCCCTCATGAATGGTCATAGTTGCTTCCCAGGAAGGTGATGATGATGCTTATGCTCGGAGGACAGCATGCTACAAGATGACCACTTAGCTGGAGAATGAGTGTTTCTGTGAGCAAAGCCAGTTTGATCCCAACTGATTAACAGTATAGAGTAACTTACTTGGTTCATAGCCTCAGCATTGTAATGATGTTAAAATTTCCATAAGACACTGGGCAGTGGTGGCGCATGCCTTTAATCCCAGCACTCAGGAGGCAGAGACAGGAGGTTCTATGTGAGTTTGAGACCAGCCTGGTCTACATAACAAGTTCCAGGACAGCCATGACTACAGAGAAAGAGACCCTGTCTCAAAACAAACAAACAGTGGACCGACCCTTCCCCTATCAACTACTTGTCAAGAAAATACCCCGCAGGCTTTTCCACAGGTCAATCTGATAGAATTCTTCAACTGAAATGTGTCCAGGTTTGTGTCAAGTTGACAAAACCAACCAGCACCAATACAAGACAGTACCAGAGGTGGGGGCATCGGCCAAGAAGTTACTGCAATGGTGATATAACAAATACAAGTGTCTGGACATGATACGGGCCAGGAAGTGTGATCCCAAACAACTTCCGAGTCAGACGGTCAGAGATGGAATGTGAAGGGGATTGCCACTGCTCAGTGCCCAGGACTAGAGAACAACCTTGACATGGTGCCGGAAGAGATAGAGGACAGTCCACAGGAGGAGAGAGGACAGGGGGCAAGTGTTTAGGGTATGAGGTGGCGAATTAGGGCAATGCTGTCACCTACACTAAGACAAGAGAAGTAAACAGGCAGGCAGCTGGGGGACTCTCAAATGCTCAGTCCAAGCTAGCCTGCAGGGCCGTGTCTGCCAGCGTGCTGCCGAGGGTCTAAGGTGTGCAGGAGGAGTAACTGCAAACTGGACACCGGTGACAAAGGGAGGCCAGGGAGCCGCTTGTTCCACCTGCAGCCCCAGCGTGGGACACTGTAAAGTGACAGAAGCTGGGCCAGAGAGTCTGTAAAAGAGCCGGTTCTGTGTCAGATGCGGGGGGAGGGGGGATCCTCCAAACAGATGTCCAGGTCAAGCCCTCGGAAACGCTACTGCAGGAGCCAGGTCTCTTCTTCCATCACGTGGGTTCCGAGGCTCAAACATCAGGTCCCTCCCTAAGCCATCTATGTGGCCCTCAGAGCCACACTTTAAAGACGACCCACGGTGAACTCCACAGCAAGGCAGGAACCCGGTCAGCTCTCCCACTGACTCCGCTGACAGATGCTGCATTGCTCAATCGCACCCACGTGTGTTATTCCAAAAGTATTTTTATTAGGTTAAAATATTCCTTAGTGAGCAGCAGTTATTCATGTGGAGAATTCAGAAAACCGACTTCTGACTATTTCCCTTGTCCTTGATCGAAGCCTTAATTACTTACACACATTCCTGCCAGTAGGATCTGAAGTCTGAGAGGCTGTTAGCTTGCAAATCTTCTGTCAGTCTGTTCCTATCTGATCACAGGAAAAAGTATAGGATGTACAGGGCTCTCTTCTCAATTTACGTCTTTACAAGAGTCCAAACACACACACACACACACACACACACACACACACACACACACACACACACAC